ACGAAGCTCGACCATCAGATGGTAGGATGGAGGGATGGTCGTGCGACAGGGTGCAGGGTGATAAAATAGGAGGATTTTTCATTACAGCGTCGGCGACATGGTCGGTAGACAGGTCGGCAGAATGCTACAATGGTGGGCTAGGAGGACGGCAAACTGCGGAATGGCAAGATAAAAGGATGGTCGGATGTCATGGCGAAGCTCGACTATCAGATGGTAGGGTGTCATGACGAAGCTCGACCAACAGATGGTAGGATGGGAGGATGGTGTGTCTGCGGGATGCTAGGATGACCGATTGTGGGATAGGCGGATGGTGGGATGGTCAGGCAAACCCGATGAACTTGTGCATGTCGACAATCACTGCAATGACGACGCTCGACTACCAGATGGCGGGATGGTAGAGAAAATATAGACAAGTTCTACATGATGGTCATGTGTGCAAGGGGGGCGCTCCATCATAGGATGGTGTATTGTCGTGACAAAGCTCAACCATTCTGGAAGGTCATAACGACCTAATGAACTTAAGGACATCCTAGCATCGGCGCCGAGGCTCCGTGGTGAATTGAAGGAACGGCTCTCGCGTAGATTGGTGCCAAGTGTCCATCTAAGTACGATCCTGCCCAGGGAGGTAGAGTGGATTGAGGCTGGGACAAGGATGGATTGGAAATGTGTGGCATGTGGCCAGGTGGACTTGGTGGTGAAGAACCAGAAGAACACTGGGATGGTGGACACGGACGAGGAAATGAACATCATCAGGGAAAAGGAAGCGGTGATGCTGGGTATGGAGATCGAGCGCTCGGGACATGGCATGTTGCACGGCACCAATTGCAAGGCTGCCTTTTGCGGCACTGCGTCCAACGTGATCATAGAAATTGGGAAGGTGCGGGCCAGGACTTGCTTCTTCGACATGCCCGACGTCGATCATTCCATGCTTCTGGGGAGGTCGTTCCTGTGTCGAACAGAGATGCTAATCTTCAACAAGCACGACGAGACAATGATCCTGCTCCTATGTGACCCGGCGTGCGGGAACTATGAGGTTATCACTTGCCGGAACACGGGGCCGGGGAGCGGAAGGAACAGGCCTAATCTCGACTCATTCACCTTTGAGGAATCGGAGAACGAGCGAAGGAGGCTTTGGAAAGTTCCCGAGGAGGAAGAAATGGCCGAGGTGCTGACACAGAGCCTTACAGATGTGAATAAGGCTATGGAAGTGGTGTCGGCACATGACATGGCGGATCCTGAGGCCATCAAGGCGCCGAGGGAGCAGGTTCTAGAGAACCCTCTGGTTTATCGGCTTCCAGGCGGCAGGGGAGGCCCTGAAATGGCACAGACACAAACATCATGCCGACCTTTTTTAGGGGACGGCTTAAGCAGGGCTCCCAAAGGCGGTACAAGACGGTAGATAAGAAGTGCCGCCCAGTTCTCGTGCTCGTTACTGAGGACGAGGAAACTTATCACGAGCGGGAGAGGGGGTTCATACGGCGCATGCGGGAGCTAGCAACCAATGGTCCGTGCCGTATCAACAATAAGAATGAGGAGAAGTTTATAATTGGGGAGCCCGACTTTCTTTCGCCCCAAGAGAGAACCCTGATGGTGCGATTGATGAAGGAAAGGCACCGCGCGTATGCTTTTAATGATGATCAACGTGGGAGGCTGGATGTGGACAAGATTCCAATGATCCGGATCCACACAGTCCCACACGAACCATGGAATCTTAAAGGCGTGCGATACCCCAATCTGGACAAAAAGAAGATGGTGGTGGACTACCTGGACTGCAAGATGCGCACACACGTTGCCGACTACTCCAGCGGGCCGTACGCCTCGCCCTGGTTCTGCTTTATCAAGCCAAATGGGACGTTGGGTGGGTGCAGGATTTACAACGGTTAAATGCCGTGACCGTGCGGGCTGCAGGGGGATTGCCAAATGTGGACGCGCTGTCAGAGCCATGCGCGGGGAAACCTATAATTTCGCTTATAGACCTCTACTCTGGGTATGACCAATTTCCTGTATACCCGCCTGACAAGCCTGTAACGAGGATGCACACGCCCAGAGGGCTGATTCATATGAACGTAGCCCCTCAAGGCTGGACGAATGCAGTGGCGATGGTGCAAAGGCGTATGATTAGGGCCATGCAGACGGTTAGCCCACACATCACCCAACCTTATATTGAGGACTTGGCGGTCAAAGGCCAGAAAGAGAGGGAGGAAGATGAAGTGATGCCAGGAGTAAGGCGGTTTGTCTGGGGACATGTCCAAGACCTCGAGCAGGTCCTGAGCTTGCTGGAAGAGTACAACCTTACAGCGAGCGGCCCGAAGTCCAAGCATTGCATGAGAGAGGCGATCGTTCTGGGTTTCATCTGTAATGAGAATGGCCGGAGGCCTGGCGTAAAGAAAACAGACAAAATCGTGAAGTGGCCAGTACCCTCCCGCTCGATAACGGACGTAAGGAGCTTCCTCGACACGTGTGGGTTCTGGAGAAGTTTCGTGAAGAACTTCGCCGCCAAGACGGAGCACTTAAGGAAATTGGTACGTTAGGACAAGGAATGGGTTTGGGGTAGAGACCAGAAAGAGGTGGTGGAAAAGATGAAGGCAGAGTTCAAAGAAGGAGGTTTGGTGTTGGGGGCGCCGGACTATGAGGTCACAGAGGAGAAGCCGTTCATCATTGAAACGGATGCTGGACCTACTCCCTTGCGAGGAGTCTTGGTTCAGGCGGATGCCGAAGGAAAGGAGAGGCCGCTGAGATTCGAGAGTCAGACTCTTAATACGACTTAGAGAAACTACTCTCAGTTTAAGAAGGAGACGCTGGTGGTGATCCATTGCCTGAGGATCTTCCGGAACTATGTCTTTGGCAGGAGGTTCATATTAAGGGTGGACCCTACTGCGCTTGCCAGTTCCCTGAAAAATTATACTCCATCTGACCCAACCGTCGTAAGGTGGTTGACGTACATTTGAATGTTAAACTTCGAGCTGGAAAGGATTCCAGGGGACAAGAACAGGGCAGATGGGTTGAGCCGCATCAACTGGGGTGGGTTGGATCAGGAGTCGATAGAGGACACCCCGCCAGTTGATGGGTTCCTGGACCAGGAGGAGGACATCTGCCTCCATATAAATGAATGGTCATTGCGGGTGCCCAACTGCGTTAGTCATCCCATATGGCTAGCACCAAAGGGGCACGAGCAAAGAGAGGAGTTGGTCCTCAAGCCCTTTCGGGAAGAGGATCCGTGGGGGAGCAAGGATGTTGGCTGGATGATGAAGTTGGCGTTGGCAGGTACACACAGTCTGGCGGAGGAAGTAAGGACGATAGAGGAAGGCCCAACTCACAGCGGAGGAAGTAAGGACGATAGAGGAAGGCCCAACTCACGTGGACGAGCATAAGCAACCAATGGGAGGAATGTATTTGCTCACAAATATGCTTCTGCAGGGAGACTTTGATCGAAGGATCTCCTTTAGTCTCATGGAGAGCGAGGACTTCGTCCCTGAAAGTCAGGACGATGAGTTCGAGGAAGGGGAGATCAACGAAGCTTTTCGTGCAGAGGAGTACGACGGAATCTATCTGGAGTTGGGGCTGTTCCTATCCTGCGAGATGAGGGATAGAGATATAAGTGCCAAGACACAGAAGATGAGGCACCTCTATGTGGTGAGAGATGGTCATCTGTTTATAAAGTGACAGGTCGGGAACCCCCAGAGGATTGTATGTGGGAGGAACCGGCAGATCGATATTATAACAGCCCTACACGATGGTATAGAGGGGGGGCACAGAGGGGTCGGTGCCACATGCGCAAAGATAAGCTACCTATACCATTGGGACGGGATGCTGACTATGGTCATCAAATATTGCCAGTCTTGTGTACCTTGCCAGGAGAGCCAGCCCAAAGGCGAGGGGAGCCCCTGTACCTAAGGTTGGAAAAGGAAGTGGGTGTGGTCGTACATCTGGACCTACTGTTTATGCTAGCTGGGGAGAATGGGTGTAATTACATCTTCGATGCACGGGATAACCTAAGGCTTACTGGGTTTGTGGACGGTCGGGCTATCCAGACGAAGACTGACCTAGTTTTGCCAAATTGCATCGAGGAGTATTACGTGCGCTATCCCTTTGTCAAAGAGTTCATGATGGACCGAGGATCGGAGTTCACCTGCAATGAGGTGCGAACCTTGCTCGCAGAGTATGGCGTAGTGGCTAACTATACTACGGCCATGCACCCTCAAGCGAACACACCTGTGGAGAGGGGGCACAGTACCATCATGAACCTCCTGGCTAAGTGGACGGAGGGTAAGCCTGGTCAGTGGCCGAAGTTCCTGCGAGCGGCTTTCTTCGTAGAAAATATTACAGTAAAGAGGACTACCAAGTACGCGCCAGCCACACTATGGTATGGGAGGCATGCCACCTTTCCCATAGAAAGCTTCATGAAGACGTGGAGGCGCCACGACCTGGAAGTCAACCTGTCCTTCGAAGAGCTGGTCGATATTCGGGCGCGTCAAGTAGGGGTTGCCGAGGAAAGGCTGCGAGAGGCCGCTGGTCAGGTAGAGAGGAGCCGCATGGAGGACAAGATGAGGTGGGACCAGATGGCACGAGTAAGGAAGGAGCCATTGGCAGTAGGGGGATATCGTATTGTTGTACGACTCCTCCTTGGAGAAGCAATGGTCCAAGAAACTCGATAAACGATGGTTGGGGCTCTACAAGATCGTGTGGTGTGGCGAGTTTGGGGCCTATCAAATCGAGGAGTTGGATGGGGACAGATGGCAGGACAATGTGCCAGGGACCAGGTTAAGGAAGTTCGTGGCCAGGGAATAGGTAAAGAGCCCTACACCCCTCAGAATGAACCAGTCCTTGAAATGTTGCATGTTATGGTTAGGTCGGGCAAAGGATGGAAAGGGTAGGGAGACAGGTGTTGCCGTGAGACCTGACGGACTGATGACTGATCCTGTTGTGTGCCTGTCTGCTTTTCTCGCCTGATGTGCAGGTCTGACTTCTTGATGTAGAGGGGCTGGAGGGGCACACGACCACGACAGAGGCCCCTGGGAGCATCCGGAGGGGATGATCAGCGCAGGCCGCCTGAGAGAGAGGCCACGCCTGTCTTCGACGACGACAACATAGAGTTTTTTCTGGACGCCTATCAGGCTCATGCGGCACGAGAGGGATGGTCTACCCAGGAGAGGATACGGCACCTGAGGGGAGTTGGACGGTTTGACGAGCCTATCGCACATATCCGGGAGGAGGCTTTGACCTGGCAGGATGTGGAGGTGAGGATGCAGAGGCTGAGGGCTTCACCGTTGGGGCGGGATGGATTACCTATTCGGCTGGAGGAGGGAAATGCGGAGGATTTCATCCCGGCCTACGAGCAGTATATGCGCGATCACGGGACTGGGCAGGAAGAATGGATGCAGACGTTGCCCCTGTGGACGCGAAGGGCGGAAAGGCCGTTGGCGAGGCAGATTCGGGACAAGGCGCACGATTGGGAGGACTGTCAGGCTCAACTGAGGCAGGCGTTCCGATAGCCAGAACCGGAGAGACCCGAGCCCAGGGTTGAGAGGAGGCAGAGGAGCAAGAGGCCACGGGGCCTGGAAGCAAGAGAGGCCGCCGCGACTAGAGGAGGCCGAAAGGCCTTGGCGCGACGAGAGGAGGAGACAACAGAGCCAGTTCAAGTGGCGGAGCCGGTTCAGGCAGCAGGGCCAGCTCAGGTAGCAGAGTCACCCTCTACCCATGGGCTTGAGCGAGTAAAGTTTCGCCGGATTACGGGCAGTGACCTACAGGGTCCGTCGTCGACTTTGCCTGAGGAGGGAGGGGCTGTACCATTGAGGATACCGCTCGACAGTCTAGAGACCCATCTCGATGCATCCCAATGGGGGGCTTCGCAACTGGGGGCAGACCCAGGCAGGGCCGCACGATATGAGCCAACAGAGGAGCCACCTGAGCTAGAGCCGGAGGTTGCGCCGCGTGGGCCAGAGAGGCCACGGACTGAGGGGGCTATTACTGTTGGGGACGATACCCCTCCTCCTACCCCGATTCCAGAGCAGGCACTGCAGTACTGGTCTGAGGGGATCCCTGAGCAGGATAGCGAGGAAGTTCCAGTATCGCCATTGGAAGCGCCGCCTCCGACGCAGGCGGGGCCAGAGGAGCGAGGAGGAGATAAGAGGGCGAGGACACCTACTACTATGGCACCACAGCTAGTCGAGCCTGCAACTGAGCCCTTGGACACTAAGATGCCGACATCCGAGGAGCCACCGCCGGAGTTGCCGCCCGTAGAGGAGGGGGTGAGTACAGGAGTTTCGCTACGAGAGGCCCATGAAACGCTGGCAGAGAGGCCATCAAGGGAGACGGCTGAAGAGAAGTTCGCGAGAGTGCAGGTGCGCCTCGAGGAGATATACGAGAAGAAGGTTAGGATGGAGGCTGCAGGGGAGGTGCCGATGCCCCCGATCGATCGTGGGATGAGTGAGCAGAGGATTGGTAAGGCGTGGGCTAGTTATGAGGGTAAGAGGGATGCTGGCCGTTTGAGGTCGCGAGAGGCAGGGCAGGAGAACGAGAGGATGGACGAGGCACGGGAGACAGGAGACTTGGGATTTTCAGCCGCTAGGATGACAATCGAGCATACAGACAGGAGGGTACATCAGGCAGCGACCACGTCCTTCCAGCGGTACACCATGCTCAGCGATGAGCTGGCGGCCTCGAGGTTGGAGGTGGAGCAGTTGCCTGCCCAGCTAGCAGGACAGAAGGCAGAGAACCAAGCCTGGAGGTCTCGCATGGAAGCCAAGGAAGCTGAGTGGGAGAGGAAACTCCAGGATATGGCGGCGATTGTAGAGAGGCTCTCGGCTACCAAAGTGGTCGACTTGACGGAGCAGAGTCGGTATGGTATCCAGGGGAAGGAGGTGCAGGGACTCTTTGGCCAGGGAGGGACGACGGAGCCACCCTTGCAAGAAGGGATGGGGAAGGTATTCTTGGACCCAGCGGAAGCGAAAGCAAGGCGGAAGGCCGAGGAGGAAAGTTTCAGCTTCAGGGCTCCCACAGAGTTGGCCTCGCAACAGGCCACCCCTATGACGATTGAGACCCCTGCGGTCGAGTCAGTGCAGAGACCCCGATTCCCACTGGTGGAAAGAGGCCCCGCTGAGGAGTCCCCTACGATTCTTTTGGAGGTGCAGGAAGGTGCCGTTGCGGGGGCAGCAACGTCCACTGAGCTCGAGGCAATGGAGGAGGAGGCATCTCGGTTGGATGAGCTAGTGGCGGCCATGGAGTTGGACATGCCATCAGAGGGGCCTCAGGGACGCGAGACCCCGGAGCGTGTGTTAGAGATGGGGGAGTTGAGGACACGGTTAGGCTCCTGGGCCACTGGAGCTAACTTAGGAGAGCACACCGCCGAGCAGCAGCAGGAGGTCATGGGTGAGCTAGCCGCTGCGGTGGTTTCTCAGCCGTCAGGGTCGTGTGGGGATGAGATGGTGGTTCCGACAGAGAGGCCTCGCAAGGAGAGGCCCCGAGAGTTGGACACACCAGAGTACTGTGTCGAGCGCATCGGTCCCGCACGGGGACCCTCCTGGCCGCGTCACGCAGGATTCTGTAGGACTTGTCGCAGAGAGCGTTTGCCGCTCCGGCCGAGTGCGCCAGCCATACCTCTCGCGAGCCCCTACGACAGGACAGGGTCAGGCGAGGCACCGCTTACCTCCACCTGCGGGAGCTGTCACCATCCCTTAGGTGGGCGTGTCCCCGCCGAGCTACTGAACCACATGCGAAAGCTTTTCGTATGCAATTGCAGAGGTGGCCCAACCGAGGGCGTTTCTCGTTCGCTGTAGCATAGGGGGTACGTGCGGTCAACGCCCAAAATCAAACCCGTACGCGAATCGACGCACTGGGGGGCTGAGGTCCCAAGCGCAACTCGACGTCGGTCGACTAGGACGGATCACGCACACCACGCGTTACACCACAACACTCATACCTACCCACGTATAACACACGTGCACACACAAACCAAACTCTACAAACAACACCTCAACACAACAGTACTAGTAGTCCCTTCAATATCCGACCCATAACTTTCTGATGCAAATATCGGATAGGCGTCGCGTACGAGGCTTCTGTATAAATGTCGAGCGAGCGCACGGCCTTCTCATATCAACCAACCATGCGGGCATACGCAAGCATTCGTGCTGATGGGGTACTATGTGGTATTCGTAGCCCCGCGGCCCTTGATAATCTCGAGGGTCGCGTTCAACACTCAAGTGTTGGATGATAGGCGCTTTGAGGGGTAATCTCTCAACGCCGGACAACCGCCGAGTGCAGTTGAAGGCCACACCCTCTTCTGCACCTTGGGCAGAGGGGTTGGGTAGACAGCTCTACGCTGTCGTGGCGGTCAAACATCAAGGGGTTTGACTTTGACGGCTGCCACGGACTACAACGTCCAAACATAATAACTCTAAGAAGCAAAGCGTCAAAGGGGACCTATTTTCTCTCAGTGCAACACCCACTTAATCACTAGGCGCGACCTCAATGGATCGCGCGAACACAAGAAACATGATATAAGAGTTATGAGACAGAAGACGATCACTCTCACTATCACGGTGTGGCTTCCCTCAAATATATATATATATATATATATATATATAATCATACGCAAACCTAAGTCTGGACTTCGACTCACAGAACATACCTGTAATCACATCAAAGATCCACATCAACAGAGCACACACTACACGGGGTCAACTTCAACCATTCTTTGCGCTCACACCCCTCGCTTTAGCCATACAAGCCTCACTCTTTGTGCAACTCTCAAAATAAAATACTCAGCATCTTTATTGAATGTTCATTCAATTAAAGTCCGGGTGAAAATGGAACAAAACAACACAAAACATAAGGTTAAAGCCTTTTTAGGTTGAGTGGCAAGAGTGGATTTAGAGTTGAGCCGGAAACCCAGCTGTTATCAAAAGATAACAGCAGATAATCTTTGTAGGATCAGCTTGAAACTAGTCAAGCCGTCAATCAATCTGAATAAAGGTGACCTGCAATGCAGCATAGGCCAGTACCCAAGCCATGCTTGAGTGATCAAGAAATAAGCCTACCTTTCTAACTAACCTCTGATATCTATCTAAAATTACAGAAAATTTCGGCAGCGTATCCCCTAAACAGGATGGATTGCCAGATCTTTCCTAGCTCAATATACTGTAACTCTCTAAATTCTGCAAAATTTCGGCAGCGCTTCCAGTACGAAAAGTGGGCTACCAAAATTTATACAAAGTTAAAAACAAGAATGCAAGACAAAACTACACTTGGGACTAACTTCTGACACTTGCTTGATAACTTAGGCTCAACATTAGTTTGCATGCCCTCTGAGTGAGACCATGAGCCAATGCTGATCCTAACCCTCAGCAGAGTCGGTCCTATCTCATCCCAAGCTTCCCTCCCATCATCCATCTTACCTACCTATGGCTCCAGCACTTGGCGAGCATCTACAACAACTACTCTATCAAAGAGAATACTCCAGAGATGACTTTCAAAAACATCAATAGGTGAGTGCAACAACATTTCTCACCAACCCTCAGGTTCTTTTCCAGGTCACATAGTTCGTTGAAAAACCCTCATTATTCCCTTTTTACCCTTCCTTACATAAGACATAGGGTCAGCCAACCCAACTTATGGATGTGACTGACCTGCCAATTTATATGACTAGGCCACACCAACTTATGGTGCCCCAGTTTGGTAACACAAATATACGTACGCATAGGACCTAACCACACCAACTTATGGTGTGACCAGTTTCTGCAAAACGATAGACATAAGGCGTATGACCGACCGCACCAACTTATGGTGAGGCTGGTCAGCCTGAACGTTCGGCATACACATAGAACTGAACCTCCTCAACTTATGAGGGGCCAACCTTTGCCTAAACAACAACAAAAGGCATATGACCAAACACAACAACTTATGTTGTGCCTGACCAGCCCATACAGTGACATATAGCATAAGACCAGGCTACCCAACTTATGAGTAGTCTAGCCCCGCCCAAACAACAACACTCCCAAAATCTGCCTTCATAATTAAGCCTACGTCTATTCTTATGTAGCGCCCAAAGCAAATGCTGACTTTGGTAGAGTCTCCCTTATTCAGGCGGGATCGCCAGAATCCCCATCTACCAAAATATAATCTATCTTCTTTGAAACTGAGAAAATTTCGCAAGTGCTTCCCGAAGGAAGAGTCCCTCTCCAGAATTTATATACTAAGTTCAAAGTTTTGTCTAACTCCCCGAATTAGTAGAAATTTGGGCAGCACTCCCTTTGAAGGGAGGCTTCCCAGATTTATACTAAGTCAGATTTGAACTCAAAAGAACAACCTGAGTCCAAGTCAGACAAAATCTGACTAACTTCTTGGTTTTTCAGAAATTTCGGCAGCACTCCTTTTAGAAAAGTTCTTTCCCAAAATTTATACAAGCTACATTCAAAATTTGAGACTAACTTTGACTTCTCAAAGCCCAATTTTGTCTAACTCCCTGAATTAGTAAAAATTTGGACAACGCTCCTTGTAGGAAAGGAGACCTTCCAGATTTTTACCAAGTCAGATATAAAGAAAAGGCAAGTTGAACTTTGACAAGTCAAAATTTGACCAACTCCTTAAATCTGTAGAAATTTTCGCAGCGCTTCCCGTAGAGATAGTACCATGCTAAGATTTATACAAAGCGAAGTACAAAAAACTGATCCCAGAAAATGCGAAAATTGATCCAAGTAAAATAAAGTCAGCTTAGAAAATGCAAGAACTGAACTAACTTCTATCGCTGTAGCACGTGGCGAATCTCTAAAGCAACTACCTATCAACCTGAAACTCAGACCAAGTAGTAACCTCACTCAGCCACATGCACGCCAAACCACAAAGGTAAGCACTCTCACCAACCCCAAGTTTTTAGCAAACAATAGTTCATGCTCCCTCTGTGAGTTACCCCTTTATACCCAGCTTACATAAGGCATAGGTCAGGCCACCTGAACTTACAGAGCGCGCCCAACTTAGCCAGGCCTAAAGTCAGATGACCTAAACTTATAGAGCGCATCTCACTTAGCCAAACATACACAAAACAGGGGGCACTACTACTTCTCTTTTTTTTTGGGCATATGACTAAACCACTGTAGTTGCCCTGAACTGTTTAAATAGCCAAGTTGTATATATCTCTCTGAACTTAATCTTCAAAGTGGACATAGGGCTGAGCGACTCAACTTAGAACACTGCTCAGCCTGCCCAGACTTACCTTCAGTTATACTTCTTAATTATACTCTTTTCAATTATAATAAGCTACAACCAGACTACCTAAACTTATAGAGCGGCCTGACTAGCCTGTTCTTAGTAACATAGTAATACAACACAACCAAATTATAATCATTGGGTTTCAATATATGCGAGGCGTTGGGCCAGACTACCTAAGGTTATAGAGCGGTCTGATCCTCTGTCAGGTTCGTTCCTCTCTGATCCAATCTGTGCGAGGCAGAGGGCCAGACCACCTAAACTTATAGAGCGGCCTGCGTCCTGCCAGAGTTACTCCCTCAAATGAAATAGGGAAAGGGTTGAACCACCTAAGCTTATAGAGCGGTTCACACCTCCTCGTTCAGAACAGAAAGAAACTGAAAGGAACCCCAAACAAACAAGGCAACCCAAGGTACCTAAACTTATAGAGCGCCCTGGGTTTCTGAGAACCATCCACAATCAAGCCCTCACAAGTCAGAGCAGTCAGGTCACCTAAACTTATAGAGCAACATGACCCTCCATGCAATTCACAGCACCGGGTCTCCCCAAACTTATGGGGACTCCCCAGCCTCCAGAGCATTCAGGCTACCTAAACTTATAGAGCGGCCTGATTGCTCCATGCAAAACCAAGATAAACAAAGCACTGGGCTTCCCCAAACTTATGGAGACCTCCCAGCCTTAACGACCTTATCAGAGTGCACACAATACTGCCTTCCTCCCAACCTTCCCCCCCCAGATGCAACCCCTTTTGTTCACAATTTGCTTTCAGGCAATCAACAAAACTGAAACTGAAATTGCACACACATTCCTTTACTTAGTCTGAATTAAAATCCTAAAATTCAAACCAAAATCAGATACAAGGTACACGCAATACACTTAATAGTCAAACCATAGAAAGATATACCGATAGGGGTTATAGTTGGGTTTATAGAAGGTTTTAGGGAATCACCACTCAATTTCTTGCCTCCAAGACTCCTCCTGAGTCCCGGCAGAGCTCCCGCAATCGGTGGGGCGAACCTCCCACAGAGGCCTTGGCGCGGATTACGGGCTGCAATCTCGCCTGCCGCCTTCCTCTTAGAACCAGCGGACTAGATTCAGAGTAAGAAGGGCAAAAAGAGAAAGCTTTAGACTCTCAGATCCAAAGGTGGTGCTCTAAGACTCGCGTGAAAGGGTCTTTTAGTCTTCAACGCCTGAGGACCCCACAATGGCGGCCGACTGTAACAACTTGGTCAAGCTCTGGGTCAAACCGTTGAAGTCAAATTTCCGATGACTTCTCGAGCCGCAGCACGGACCCCCCCCCTTTTTGCCACCACTCCACCACGCTGCAACAATCAATCTTCCCTCTAGTCCAATCACTCCCCTCACACCACACCTTTGCCTCCTTTGGCACGGCCAAACGGTCTTCAGACGATCGTACTACGACCGACTCAACAGTCAGCAGTGAGCTCAACAACCGTTGCTGGAGCACAATAGTCCAGGCAGCTTGCGGAGCTCGCACCAAAAAGGCAATAAAGAATGTTGCAATTCCTGGCTTAAAGCCAACAGCAACCTACCTCGCGCATCAGCAACACCCGCGATAGTCTTCTCTCTGATGTAGCAGCACAGCCACCTTAATTCAAGTC